ATGGCACTCTACTGAGGGTGAGAAAGTGAAACTCTGTCTCAATAAATAAATAAATTATGGTAGTTAAGAGCAAATTTAATTCAGACTGAATGCATTTACTTTTGAAATAGTTTTCATTTTAAATAATAGATCATTAAGTATATTTCTGAAAAGTACATAAATCAATAAACTCTTCTACTGACTAACATGATAATGGTGTAATTAGAAGTGCTTATTTTAATAGTTAGCATCAGTTGAACAGTTGTCTGTCTGGTTTTTCTTTTTTTGAGCTGACCAGACTTCTCCTACCCTTAAGAAATGAAGAAAGTATAAGTTATAGAAGAGAGTTAGAAAGCAAGCCATAATTTTTATTAGAGAAAACTCCAGTATAAGTTTCATAGGTTCAGATCTCATTAGTAGCTTTCTGTGGGTGGGAAAAAGAGAGTATTTATGAGGTTAAAAAAAAAAATTCAGGCTCAGCGCCTATAGCTCAACCAGCTAAGGCGCCAGCCACGTACACCTAGGGTGGCGGGTTCGAATCCCCAGCCCAGACCCGCCAGACAACAATGACGGCTGCAACCCAAAAATAGCCGGGCGTTGTGGCGGGCGCCTGTGGTCCCAGCTACTTGGGAGGCGGAGGCAGGAGACTCGCTTGAGCCCAGGAGTTGGAGGTTGCTGTGAGCTGTAATGCCACGGCACTCTACCCAGGGGGACAGCTTGAGGCTCTGTCTCAAAAAAAAAAAAAAAAATTCAGATAGACAAACAAGTGGTAGTTTTTCTCAGCTATCTTGCATACCTAATTGGTTTTTAACCACAAACGAAAATAATATGTAATACATAATGTAAAATATCCAAACAGCACCATGGCTGTGCAATTAGAAATAAGTCACTTTTTCACCTCAAAGCCCATCCTTAATATCTCCATCCTTAATATTCTCTTAGTAATCAGTATTTTCAGTCTCTTACATTTGCATGGAATATTTCTAAATAAGGTATAAATATATGCATACCTCTTTTATATAAATTAAAACACTTTATATATGCTTCTATTTTCCTTTTCATTTCGTATATCTGAGATTTACATGGAAATATACTTTAAAAATAATTTTCTTATAACTATTTTCATATGCTATGGTTTATGTGGATTGCATCATGATTTTTAGCAACAAAATACAAATAATAATTTCAATATCGGAATGGAAAATAACATGACAACAATGGCTACATAGGTAGCTTTTTAAATTATACTTTTAAAAGTTTGTAGCATCAACATCTCATCTAATGTCTAGCTTCTAAATAGTGAAAAAAACAAAGTTTAAAGTCGATTCCAAATGCTTTTTATCATAATTGTTGATCTCTTTTTACCATACAGATTTACTTATTATGTCTAACACATCGTGATTCTTCATCAAGTTTTATTTTTCTCTAATTTACGATCTTTTTAAGAACCAGGAACTAGATTAGTACTTGTTGTAATATTTACAAATAGGGAATGGAATTTTTAGGCCCTCCTGTAGGGGCAGTTAAACATTGGGAGTATACTCAGTATCCTAATAGAATTTATGTCTGCTAGATCATTTTTATATTCACACACCCATAATAAAAAGGAACATTTTCTTTTGTAGCTAGAGTTGAATTATTATTATTATTTTGGCAGTTTTTTGCCTGGGGCTGGGTTTGAACCCGTCCGCTCTGGTATAGGGGGCTGGTGCCCTACTCCTTTGAGCCACAGGTGTCACCCTAGAGTTGAATTATTATTAGAAACATTACTACGCTAACCTACACAATTGTTTGTTCATTTATAGGGAGATGGTATAGGCTTTAGAACCAGACTATCCTAAGTTCATATCCTGTCTAAAACTCTAGTACCAGCTCAGTGAAACTGAGTTCCCTCTCTAACTTCATTTATGCAATAATATACCAGTAAATATGCTGCAATGAACATTCTTATATGAATATATCTTTTTGTTCATGTGGTGGTATTGCACATGAACATGGACAAATCTATGGGCCCAGAGGCACATGCAGTTTAAAATTTAATACTTGGTACAAATTCACTCCAAAAAGACTATCCCAGTTTACACTCTTGCTAACAGTATATGATAGTGCCATGTACCCTCTATGCATGAAAATGCCATTCAATTTTTGCCATTCTTATGCCTGTCTTTAAATTTTAGCCCTCTCTAAGTTTCTTTGAATTCTCTATCAACCTAGTGGTACTAGATCTTGGAGTAATATGATAGTGGCCCAGAAAATGTTATCATTTAAATTTTTCTCTTAATATCTGTTCGTATTTTAGGTAAGCTATGTATTTGTTAGTGTGTGCCATTTATAAACAGAAACTCCTTGAATCTAGATTATATATTTATGTTTACATATACAAACAGATTTCAAGCAAATTAAAATTTCAGTTAATCTCATTCTGCTTCTCATTAGTTTGGCCATGTCTTCTGGTTACTTTAGTTATTAGTATAATCAGAAAATCATTTTGCTTAAATTACGTTAATGTTTTATGTCTTTATAAGGACAAGCATACTCTGACGTTTAGCAGTTTTCAAACATGTTAGGTTATCGTTCTACACAGATGTAGCTGATGTCTGAGTTAATAGTAAATAGTTAGTATGGACTCAATTCATATTAATCTTGAAGTGAGAAGTTGTGTTTTATCTTGTTTTTGTAATATTTGACTCTTGTAAAAAAATTCTGGAAAATTCCATGTAAGTTTTATTCTTACTATGATTGCATTTCTACTTGAAATCTGATACTCTTTTGTGAAGACCATTTTCAGTCTTGGTTATTCTTGAGACTTATGAAAATAAGTTACAGTCTGTAACAATGAATGACCGAATCCAAAATGCAGATGTTGGCATGCCCAACCTCATAATCCATGTTTGAATTGAATTTTTATTCTCATTTTTTTTTTTTTTGAAATGGAGCCTCAAGCTGTCCCCCTGGGTAGAGTGCTGTGGCATCACTCACAGCAACCTCCAACTCCTAGGCTCAAGCGAGTCTCCTGCCTCCGCCTCCCAAGTAGCTGGGATCACAGGCACCCGCCACAACGCCTGGCTGTTTTTTTGGTTGCAGCCATCATTGTTGTTTGGCGGGCCGGGGCTGGATTCAAACCTATCACCTTAGGTGTATGTGGCTGGCGCCTTAGCCACTTGAGCCACAGGCGCCGAGCCATTTATTCTCATTCTTAACTGAATCCATACTTGACACCTTTTTATGGTCAACTTGTACTTATTCAATTCAAATAAATTGAATCCTTTTCTGTAATTGTAAGGACTAGTAAGGCTTATTTGTCCATCTTTGGGTCTTTGTTGTTGTTAATTTGGTCATTTTTGCATTGCAGAGGTTTAGACAGGTAATTAGTTGGTGGGCATGTGTTGTTGGCATTTATGCAGTAGTCTCCCTATTCCTTTAATTAATTAATTAATTTGTTTATTTATTTATTTATTTTTGAAGACAGAGTCTCAGTTTGTTGCCCTTGATATAGAGTACCATGGCATCATAGCTCACAGCAACCTCAAACTCTTGGGCTCAAGTGATTCTCTTGCCTCAGCCTCCCAAGTAGCTGGGACTAAAGGCACTGGCCACAACACCTGGCTATTTTTAGAGATGAGGTCTTGTTCTGGCTCAGGCTGGTCTCAAATCTGTGAGCTTAGGCAATCCACCTGCCTTGGCCTCCCAGAGTACTAGGATTATAGGAGTGAGCCACTGCGCCCAGCCTTCCCTGTTCCTTTTAAAACTTAATATAGACTCCAACTGAATTGATATCATTTTTAACTAAGAGGCTTATTATAGATTGATAGCTCATAAATTTTTCAAATTGTTAAAAAGAACATTCTTTAATACATATGTGTTATTAAAATGCTATAACACTTAAGAGATATGTAAATCAAACTCAGTAGGGCCTGGCTCCTTTGGGGACTCATTAACTGGCAGGCACTGTTTTTGTTAAACATTCTAAGAAGTAGCACTGTGGGCTCGGCGCCTATAGCTCAACCGGCTAAGGCGCCAGCCACATACACCTAAGGTGGCGGGTTCGAATCCCCAGCCCGGACCCGCCAAACAACAATGATGGCTGCAACCAAAAAATAGCCGGGCGTTGTGGCGGGCGCCTGTGGTCCCAGCTACTTGGGAGGCGGAGGCAAGAGACTCGCTTGAGCCCGGGAGTTGGAGGTTGCTGTGAGCTGTAATGCCACGGCACTCTACCCAGGGGGACAGCTTGAGGCTCTGTCTCAAAAAAAAAAAAAAAAAAAAAAGAAGTAGCACTGTGTCAGGGACAGTGGCTCACACCTATAATTCTAACTTTTGGGGAGGTCAAGGAGAAAGGATTACTTGAGACCAAGAGTTGGAGACTAGCCTGGACAACATAACATATCCCATTTCTACAGAATTTAAAAGATCAGCTGGAAGTGGTGGCTCACACTTGTAGTCCTACGTACCCAAGAGGCTGAGGCAGGAAAATCTTCTGAGCTCAGGAGTTCCAGGCTACAGTGAACTGTGATCCAGCCACTGCCCTGCAGCCTGGATGATAGATTGAGAGGCTGTCTCTTAAAAAAAAAAAAAGAACTAGCAAGGAGGACTTTATTTTTATTTTTTATTTATTTATTTATTTTTGACACAGTCTTTTTGTCACTCTCGGTAGAGTCCTGTGGCATCATAGCTCACAGCAACCTCAAATTCTTGGGCTTAAGTGATGTGCTTGCCTCAGTCTCTCAAGTAGCTGGTACTCCAGGTGCCCACCACAAGCCACAAACCCAGCTATTTTTAGAGACAGGGTCTCGCTCTAGCTTAGTCTGGTCTCCAACTCCTGAACTTAAACAATCCACCCACTTTGTCCTCCCAGAGTGTTAGGATTATATACGTGAGCCACCACGCCCAGCCCACAAGGTGGAATTTATAGTGGATATAGAACCTATCTATAGTGATACGTGCACATTATTGGTCCTTCACAGGGCCTAATATTAAGACTCTGCTTGTGGTCCTAGTTAATTCTAATACTTATTTTTTTATAGAATCCCAAAACAAAAGAGCAGATCGAAAATCTATTACGAAATGGGATGAACAAGGAGCTGCGCGATCGTCTTTGCTGCCGAATGACTTTTGGGACTGCAGGACTTCGTTCTGCCATGGGAGCAGGATTTTGCTATATTAATGACCTTACAATAATCCAATCAACACAGGTAAGTATCATAAAGTGTTATATGTGTACTTTTTCTCAGTCTATTATTTTGCTTTATAAATTGGATAGTGTCTTTCTTTTTTTTTTTTTTTTTTTTTTGAGAGGGAGCCTTAAGCTATCCCCCTGGATAGAGTGCCGTGGCATCACAGCTCACAGCAGCCTCCAAGTCCTGGGCTCTAGCGAGTCTCCTGCCTCCACCT